CTCTCTTTACTCTCTTTACTCTCGTTTACTCTCTTTACTCTCTCTCTTTACTCTCTTTACTCTCTCGTTACTCTCGTTACTCTCTTTACTACTCATTACTCTCGTTACTCTCGTTACTCTCTTTACTCTCTCTTTACTCTCTTTACTCTACTCTTTACTCTCGTTACTCTCTTTACTCTCTTTACTCTCGTTTACTCTCTTTACTCTCGTTTACTCTCTTTACTCTCGTTACTTACTCTCTTTACTCTCGTTTACTCTCTTTACTCTCTTTACTCTTCTTTTACTCTCTTCGTTACTCTCGTTACTCTCTTCGTTACTCTCGTTACTCTCGTTACTCTCTTACTCTCGGTTACTCTTTTTACTCTCATTACTCTTTTTACTCTCTTTACTCTCGTTACTCTCAGTCTCTAATAAGAAACTATAAACTTCCACAGGATTGGCTCAGACTCATTTTTAGTTTGTGAAACACCAAACGCCTGATGTTTTTACAAACTTAAAGGGTCCATATTCTGTTTTTGCTCTATGTTGTGTTCAAATGTCTTTTCCGACCGCGGTTGAACTGGTTTGATATTGGATATTGAATATTCGACACATTCAAAGATATTTAACTTTTAATTCATGTCACTGATTTATTTTTTTTTCAAACTTGTGACGTCTTCATCATCATAAACAACATAAACATAAGGAGAAAGTTAAACGGGAAAAGGTTAAAGACCAAAACGTCACTAAGTCACTTCGAAATGAAGGAGTTTAGGTGTTTCTGTTAATAAACAATCAGACTGAGTTCATCTTTGTGAGTTTTCTTCAATTATTTTTGTTTGAAATTGCATTAAGTAACTTTTCTCTCTTTTATTGTTTTGTCTGGAATGTTCCAGCGTGTGGCATTAAACCTTGTCATCACGGAGACCAACCCAGACCAAGTTACAGGTCAGATCTGTGGAGAGGCGACTCCGCTCACAGAATGTTTTTAGAGGTATTTTTGAGCTCTAAAACCACCTGCGATTGAATAAATGTAAAGTAGAGCTCTTTAATGTCACACTGTGGAACTTTCCAGACAGAGCGATGACATCTCCATAGAAACAAGCAGGTGACAGACCCAAAATTAAAGTTACCCAGTGCAACTTTTAAATTATAAAACATGATTTCCAAAGGAGAGAGTGCAGAAGTCGTGTGATGAGAGACTGCAGACGAGATGTTCTCCATTCACTTATCTGCTCAAATATTGAATTAATAAAGTAAAATAAAAAAATGTCTGTGTTTTGTGCAGATCGAAAGTTCGTGATCGCCAACGCTCAGGTGGAGAACTGCGCCATCATCTTCTGTAACGACGCCTTCTGTGGGATGTGTGGATACTCTCGAGCCGAGGTGATGCAGCAGCCCTGCACCTGCAGCTTCCTCTACGGACCCCACACCACCAGACCTGCCGTCGCTCAGATCTCCAAGGCTCTGCTCGGCGCCGAGGAGAGGAGGGTGGAGATCACGCTCTACACCAAAGAAGGTGAGGGTGGAGATCACACTCTACACCAAAGAAGGTGAGGAGGAGAGAGGAGAGGAGGGTGGAGATCACGCTCTACACCAAAGAAGGTGAGGAGAGAGGAGGAGGGAGAGGAGAGGAGGAGGGGAAGGAGGAGAGAGGAGAGAGGAGAGAGAAGAGGAGGGTGGAGATCACACTGTACACCAAAGAAGGTGAGGAGAGAGGAGAGAGAGAGGAGAGAGGAGAGAGGAGAGGAGGAGAGAGGAGAGAGGAGAGGAGAGAGGAGAGAGGAGGAGAGAGAGAGGAGAGGAGAGAGAGAGAGGAGGGAGGAGAGAGGAGGAGGGGAGGAAGAGGAGAGGAGGAGGAGAAGAGGGTGGAGATCACG